AAAACTAACAATGGGCAGCTAGGAAATTTTCAAAAATTACTTTAAAAACATTACGTTTGAAATTTTCAAGGATTGACAGATTATAATGGACTTTTTTCCAATCTATTTCTGACGCTGAAGGAAACTTTTTAACCTGAGTTTCCGATAACGTGTACTCGTAAAAACCGAATTATCCGGCAACATCAGCCTTGTTGACGATAACATGTTTTCACCTAACGAGACATTTTAAATGCCTGATAACTAACCCTTAATTTGGATTTTTGATCTTAGTCTGCTTATCTACAGGTGTATAAATGTACATAGAATATATAAACTATTTTGTTTAATACAAAAATCTGAAATTGACCTCTACAAAAGCTAAAATGTGATGACATATTCCGAAATTTTTATAAAATATCATTTGAAAGAGCTGTAGATCATTTATAAGAGAGTGATTTGGTTTATGCTTTTTGCTGCTGAAAGTATAATCATATATCTGCCAAAGATCACAACTTTGTTTGCTGGAGTACGCAATTATCATTGAATTAAGCAATCTAAAATCACCTACGTATTCTAAACATCCCTTTCTTGCACCGAATGCCCGATAACAACCGAATTGCCGATAACGCGTTGAGCAGTGTGAGGGCGAAAACGCTGAAGTACGACTGCTAAAGGTTGTCGGTAGAAAATAAACCCGCTGAGAAAACCTACATGTTTTAAAATATATACCCAGTATTTTATTTTAATTTTATCTATTTGATTTTATTTATTAGTTCGCCTAGGACTATAAGTATAAGCCCGTAGTGCTATTTAACTAAGTTCTTTTTTATTTGACGTTATGTATAATTTTTTTACAGCATGTAGTGTTAAACTAAATCAAATAAATTAAAAAAAACCCTATATTTCGTAAAAAAAAAAAGAAAAAAAAAAAAAAAAAAAAAAAAGATTTTGTAACACCTGTCGATAAAATCTAGACGACCGTCGTGTTATTTATCAAATATCGTTTTATTTTACTTTTTGCGTTATTTTTACTCTCTATATAGTGTTAAATTAAAAAATAAAAAAAAACGAATTAAAGTTGTCTGTAATTAATCTATATAATTAAAACTCATCCTGGACCTAGAGAGAGAGAGAGAGAGAGAGAGAGAGAGAGAGAGAGAGCACTCTTGCAGAGAAATCGGTAATGTTAGCATTTAAAAATATGACTTACATGTATCACGTTTATAACATTTGAGAAGGAAAAACATTTAAATAAAAATCTTTCTTTATATTAGAGTGTGCTTAATATTAAACACAAACTTAATTAAGATGAGGGCAACTGAATTAATGCATGAATTATTTTCATTAAGGTAAAGAGTCATGAAATTATCGCACACATGTGAGAACAGGATTGTTGGAAAAAAAAAACATATTAAGAAAAAAGAAGTGTTGCATGTGCATAAAAGGATTTGTCGCATGCTCTCCAAAAAATCGTAATTTATATGAAAAATATTATCTACAATATGTACAACCTTGTTTATCAAAATTCTCAATACATACATTAAGAAACATTTTGCTAAAAAAAGCATATCACACAGGAATATGTTTAAGTATAAATATACGTGTACAAGTCATTTCAAAATTCCATCACCTTTCACTCACAGTCCTGGGTACTTATAAATTACGAATAGAAAGAATCTGGGGAAAACGGAGAAATGTATAGTAATTAATTCATTAGTTCTGAATTTATCATAATATCGATTTCAGGGATCATTTGATAGCGCTGTGGCTTAAAAACATAATATCGTAGGCGTCGCAAGCAAATTAGAAAAGGAAACGGGGTTGGGGGGGGGGGGTACTTCATTGATCTGCATGATCAGCCTTAATATTGAAATTACATGCGTGCCTGGTGGAATATGGAAAAAAAAAACTTTTTAATTTCAGTGTGGCAGGTAAGAGACTTAGTTGTCGACATTTATAAATAATAAGCCCCCAATGAATTTTGAATAAGTCGAAAGCATCGGAAGCAAATTTAGAGGGGGTGGGGTGGAGTGGTTAACTCCGTTAAATGTGAAAAAAGTGGGAGAAGGTGTAAGTTGTATGCTGCACTAATAAAAGGGGGGATTAGTCTTACACTCATCCCTCTTTAAAACACGATAGTTAGTGAAAAAATATATATACTGTCTGAACATACTGAAAAAAAAAACCATCGTAAAAATTAGAATTAAAGCCCGAGTCAAAGTTCCCGTCGTAAAGCATTGGTTTGTCTAGATCTTCTTCTATGTATGCGCATTTTCCAAAACTGCTTTTCAATTGCGGATCTGCGAAACATCTCTCTCTCTCTCTCTCTCTGTAAAAGATATTACAAACTTACTAGTATCAATTTTTACCTTTTAATATTTTGCTAAAATTTATTCCAAAGAACTACCCGGCGTAATATTTATCAACAATATACGTCGCTTGTGCCGGTACGGATCCAAGAATAAATAACATTTATACAAAAAAAATAAATAAATAAATAAATAAATAACAGACCAAAATGAACAAAATATGTATCGGTTAACTTTATATTTTACGAGTCTTAAAGTTGCTGCATTGAGTATGACCGAATTATGACGTTGTCAGCACCTTCATGGCGTCAAGTCACGTGATTAAAACAATGCAGCGCCCATAAATGAGGTCAGAGCATTGTATATATTTCCAGAAACTATTCGTCTGCTAACAATTCGGATATATTCATATCTACCATACAGTTTCCGCAATTACTGATTCTTATGTATTTCCAGTTGTCATATATAATGAAATCCCGGTAATAAATAAATCTTTCAATGCTGAGTACTACAAGACTTCTAATTAATCATAATAATTCTAAAAAGACACTATTTTAGAATGGACATATGCTAAAATATGCACTGAAGGGAAACGTAATCCACGCAATCAAACTTAAGCGCAGACGATTTTTGTATTAAGTGTAAACATGCACCTTTAGTTCTATAACGAAAACATAACTGTGAAACATACATTCAAAACAACATGAAAGGTTTGCTATGCAGGCGCAACAAATATTAAATAATAAATTCTTTTTAAATTAAAACAGTTGATTTCTTTTCCTTTTATTAATCTGTAAAACGAGTGAGAATCAAGGCGTACACTGTATGAGTGTTGTTAACCTTGGCCATAACTTTTGAATGGTTGGTGCTAGGGCTTTCATACCTCACATATATAATCCTTGTGAGAAGACCTTTCTTTGGATTCCAGCGACAATGACCCTTTGACCTTGACCCTGGTGTTTTACTTTTAGTAAACTTTAATCTTGGTTATAACTTTTGAACGATTGGTGTTTTGGCTTTCATATTTTACCTGTGTAATTCTTGGGAAAAGGCCTTTTCTTGGGCACTATTAATTTTGACCATTTGATCTTGACCTTGTTGTTTGACATACTTATGAAAAAAAACTTTATAACCTTTTTTTTATTATTTATTCAGTGGTTGCTGCTAGGGCTTTCATATTTCACAGGTTTATTCCTAGAGACAAGACCTTACTTTGGGTACCAACATATTTGATTTGCATTTGAAAAAAAGTTTAACCTTTGCTATAAGTTGCCACACATGGTCATCAGTGTTTCACAAACACATCTTGTCCTTCTAAGAAATGTATAAGACTCTGAGATAACTCAAATGGAGATATTTCAGGATAATTTCTGCCTTGAAAAGATATGTGAAATGTATTTCAAACTTTATCAAATATTTTATGATGGATAATGATGGAAGAGCCTTCTCAAGACAGGGAAAATAAAGGTTAATTGAACAGTGTAACAAAAACAAAAATGCTGGAATCTTTTATTCTTTGAATTGTGCATCAACTATATGCATATGATTTTTTTTTTCGATGTTTGATAAAGATATATTTAAAAAAAAAAAGCAAATCAAGTTTCAGAACATATTTACTTTACTATTTTCTTTTTTGTTTTATTATTGTTTTGTTATCTGTTGAAGCTACTGTAATTTGCAATGTTGGAGAATTTCGTTGCCTTGTAAGTAAAGAATGTATAAACTGGACCATGTATTGTGATATAAAGAAAGATTGCAGCGACGGAAGCGATGAACAATATTGTAAGTTATTTATTTTAACAGTTTGTATTATTGTATTGATTTTTCGGGAAACTGCTACTCTCGAACATTGATTTTAAACATTTGGATTACGCAAAATTTTCACATTTGCATTCATCTACATAACAACTGTCTCTCTCCAAAAAAGAGAGAAAAGATGGCAACAACGATGTAAAAACGTAATGATCTGTTTCAGGCACTTATAATTCCAACAAATCTATTGTATCCGGTAGTTTAGAATATTCCCTGAGTCCTCCCTGTGGCATCAGTTCAAACAAAAGCAATTTTAGACTAACGACTGCTTCCAAAGATCCCTCTGGAGTGCCTAGAGAAAAATGGGATACGAATGAAATGTTGAATATTGCAAGGAATACAGGAAATAATGATAGATGTGCGATATTTTCAAGTGTATGCACATGTGTCTTAAACGGACCAACTCTGCCTTTCAAATCGTGGAATAACATTTATCAATTTTTTTACAGATTACAATAAACAATCTTTTCGAGATACAAAATTCACAAAATTCAATAAGAAGCGATTACTTTTCAATGCGAAACCATGCATTAAAATATATCAATGAGACAAATTTACAGGTACGTGAAGCTAAAATGATTGATCTTTCTTCCAATGAAATAACAATCATAAAAAAGGGAGATTTTATGGAATCTTCTTCCTTGCAAATACTTAAATTACAGAATAATCTTATACGAGACATTGTGGAAAATGCATTCGAGGACTTGATATCGTTATATCTTCTTGACCTCTCAAATAACTCAGTCACCGATGTGAGCATACAATATTTTATATCATTAAAGAACCTTCATTATTTGTATTTAAACTATAATAGGATAAATGCTATTCATGAGACGGCTTTTTCTAATTTAGTGGTTCTGCATACCCTAGATTTGTCGTACAACAATATCAAACATTTTCCTGAAGGCCTATTTTTAGCTATGGAACATTTGGAAGATCTGTTTATACAGAGCAAGAGCATTTTGTCTGTAAATGGAATGTTTTGGGGATTGTTTAATCTAAAATTTCTTAAAGTTGATGAATTCTCTATCTGCTGTGCAACACCTCGCAGCCGTAATGATCTGCAATGCTTTGCTCCAATTAATGAAATAGCTTCTTGTGAGCATTTAATCAGTGCTCCTGTCTTAAATGTTGTCATTTGGTATATAGCTTTTCTTGCTACTATCGGAAACATGATTGCAATGATTTGCAGCATTTCCACATTTAGAACATCTTCATTTACATATTTCATTTTCTCACGAAATTTGAGTGTTGCTGATTTCCTCATGGGTGTATATCTATATATCATAGCCATTACAAATCTGATATATACAGGGAGATATGGATTTGTGGACTATTCTTGGCGACATAGTTTTCTTTGTACTTTTGCAGGGATTTTGGCCACAGTATCAAGCGAAGCATCTGCACTTTTTGTTTTAATGATAACCATAGACAGAGTCATGGCTATCAAAAATCCCTTTTCACAAAGAAATAGGGCCTGGATGTTAGGACCATCTGCATTGGCTTGGGCTATTGCTATTTCTTTGTCTGTGTTTCCAATATTACCGTCAGAGTTGTCAATGTTTGAAGACTTTTATGCTCAATCTCCTGTATGTATATCTCTTCCATTATCGGTCTATAGGCAGCTTGGTTGGCAATATTCAATGGTCATTTTCATTGGCTTAAGTTTCCTTATTTTTCTTGGCATCATTTTTGGACAATTTCGTATCCTGTACGAAGTTTTAAAATCCGGTAGCAAAAGCCAGGCTTCAAACGTACGTCGAAGGGAAGTAACTCTAGCCAAGACTGTCGTAGCTGTGCTGTGGTGGTCACTGATCTCCTATGCTAGATACCTATTGGAATAATTGGTGAGAGCTTCAGAAATTCAAAGAATACAAGTTTAGTGAATATAAACTGGCCAGATTGGAAATATGTACTTTTAGTCATTGCTATATGATACATGTAAAATATTTGAAATGAGCGGGTAGGATTCTACGCGAATATCTGAGAAAACATAAGATTGAAAATCTAGATGGAAGTTTTTCAAACCATCTAAAGATAACCACAGCGATAAAGACGAAAAATTATTTAAACTCCCAAGTACTTAGAAATAAATATTTACATAACATTTCGTCTATTTTTAAGGACAGGCAATATATATATATATATATATATATATATATATATATATATATATATATATATATATATATATATATATATATATATATGGCATTTTTTATTCTGTAGTGGAAGGGGGGCTGTTAAATTTCAGCAAGTCAGATTATCTATTGACATGGGCTGATGTACATGTACCAGTCAATGTCAAATTATATAATATTTTCGTTTGATTGGAGGAAAAATTATTGATTTTCATGACAGATTCAAGAAAGACATTACAAACAAAATATGGATAGATTTAAACCAAACTTTGTGTAACTGATGCAAATTTCTTAAATATTAAAAATTGAAAACTTTGTGGGAATTTGATAATTCTTCCTTTTTGCCAACACTTTTATAATATAAAGTTTGAGTTTTTCACTTAAATTTAGATTATATATATATATATATATATATATATATATATATATATATATATATATATATATATATATATACTTTTTGTCTTTAATTATAGGACGTTACTAAAAGCCATTTTAAATGAAGAATTAAATTCTTTTACGTACACAATTTTGATTTAAATTTCATGTTTGATTTGATAAGAAAAAAAAAATGTAGCATGCATTTGTCTTTAAGAAGCCTATTTTCTTTCGCTTCATTTAACAAAATAAAACTTTGTGGGAATTACCCTTTATTTTTGCTGATGACAGGAATGTTGACATTTTCCGGAATTGATGCCCCACTGGAAATCTACGCTTGGATCATAGTGCTTGTTTTACCCATCAATTCCGCAATTAATCCAATACTTTACACACTGTCTGCTATATTACGAGCCAGGGGACGCCGGAAGGTAATTCTTAAATATATTTAACACTTTTATAATATAATTGAATGTAAAGCAGGACTAAATACAATGTATTTCATGACTAGATTTTTTCTTTTTTTTTTCTTTTTTTTGCAATTTTGATTATACCGTATGAGGAGAATTTTTTTTTAGAGATTAGCAGATTTAGCGATTTGTCATTGAAAAGCAGCATTTATTTCTTACGAGAAATGATTTAAACGATTCTGTGGTGCCTTGAAAGATAATAGTAACAATGTCTTTGTGATCTTCTATTTTACCCTAGGGAAATACCAAAAGTGAGTCCTTGCTAATATTCCTGATTATACTACATGTATATACATGTATATGTGTATGTATAAATAATCCTGAATAAAGAAAAAAAATGCAGATTTGCCTGAATTCATTTCACTAACGCTTTTTTATTTGTATTTATACACATACAGCTTAAGCTTTAAGTAGTTTGAAACGGTTGTTTTGATTAGTAATGTTTACCGTGACTGTATGAGCGTCTTTGTAGGAGAAGAATAAATTCCTGATCTCACAAGACCGTAACATTACGTAGAGGCTACTCTTGAACGCAACCCAGGGGTCCTATGTCAACTCGTTGCCCCCGTAACAAGCTGACACAGGACCTCCGACGTTGTAAAGATGTAGAGCCGCCTACCGGTGATATAAAGGCAGATCTATCATACTCTTAGTTGCTTAGTTTAAAATTTAAAATTAATGATATACATGCGTAATGCTGTTATCTATCATTTAAGTTTATGTACATGTACAAACTATCAGCTTGAGGAGGCCTGCCACAAGGTGAAAAGTCCAGCAATAACACTTTCTTGCAATGCACATTATCCACTATCATATTTAAATTTCAGGAGAAAAATTTAGAATTTTAAGCAGGTGATTTAATTATTACTTAAAGACTAAGCTCAAGATGCAAATAAGATGAAACACTAACTTGTTTTATTTAGAGGTAACAATTTGCTGGAATTGACATGCAATTTTTAAGAAAATAATAATGAAAAAAGAACACGACAGTGCAGACATCCCTGAAAAACGCTTACTTTAAAAAGCACCTGGGATATACAACAGCTACATGTGCATTTAAGTTGTATAACTTTACACAAGCTGGAAAGTTACCAGATTATTATAGGACAAGAGTACTACATCTGAAAGAAAGTTTTCTGCCTTACTAAATAATTAAGTAAATTAAGAAAAAAAACAGAGTAAAAGATATACAAATAGTATTTAAGCGTGACCCACCGTTTCTTAGATCGGTACTTTTTTTTTCTGGAGACGACACACAGGATCTTGTTTTGCATTTAAATAGCACTCCTCCATTAACTAAGTGCTCTGTTTTACGAAACAAGTGCCCCTGAGACAAATATGCATTTACAATTATTTTTCTTTCTATTACTTATTCTTATATAAATTGTTAAGAATATTAGCACTAACATAAATGTGCATAAGACCGCAGAACATTAACTGGCAAAATTGGAAATACACAGCTTAAGCCATTTCCATCTGTTACAGTCAAAACATTTAATGATAAAAATGAAGTAGGTGGATACAATTCGACACAGACATCCGTGAAAACATTGGATTGAAATTCTATTTTGAAATTCATTTTCAATCCACCTGAGCTGTTTTCAAACGCAGAGTGTGAATGTATGATTCAAAAGACAAATAATTTCAATTCCCAAATACATGTTGTTTGAAATTCAAATTTATATGAATCTTTTAGCATATAAATTAAGGACACGTAAAAGTCATAGAGGACAGAGATTATTTTTTCAGGTGACGGCCATGTGATTCTAGAAGGAAGGGGGTCAAAAATTGTCGTGTCAGATCATGCCTCCATGCCTTTTGTTTCCAAGATCCCAAACAGGAATCAAGTGTTTGTCCCTTTTTATCTCTTTAAAAACACTGAACAGAAATTCTGATTCATATTAATTTCAAACTATACCGAAATTGAAATTATTTGTTTTCTGGGCCAATCAGTAACACCATGATTCTAGCGTAGCTGAGGTGGATTTAAAATGACTTTCAAACTAGAATTTCAATCCAATGTTTCTCAGACGTCCGTGTTGAATTGTACCCACCCATTCCAATGTATATCATTAAAGAGACACCGTGATGAAAAAGGGAAAAATTGACAAAAGCAGAATTTTCGCATGATGCATGCAAAATTTGTTTAATTCGTAAAGATATTAGGTTTCAGAAAATTACAAGTTTCAAAATCTAAAAAATCGACTTTTATGGAGAAAAATAAAGGTAAAAATAATTTTTGTTTGTCCCAACACAAAAGTATTGCTTCACTTCTTCTTTTTTATTGTAGGCATGCGCAGAAAAGTTGAAGACTTTGCCATGTTGTCAATTCCATAGAAATAAATGTCAGATGACCAAGGATTTTATACAATCTTCAATAAAGATGATCAGAACTTATTCCTCACTTTTGCTTGCTGCAGTTAAATGCTGTTTATTTAACGCTAAGAATAAAAGTCGCATGACCTTGACGTTGTTGACATTGACAATAACAACTAAGGGATAGACACAACTTTTGCTTTTCCGGCACTTACATTTTGCAGTTCTTTTCTTGCTTTACAGTGCCGTTGAGTAGTCAAAACTTCGCTTTATTCATATTTCACATAAACCGTTTGTTTTATGATACAATTATCTTAAAAGAAACACATGATTTTGACTCATTATGTAACTTTTAATGTTTTGATTGTAACATATGAAAATGACGTAAGGTGCATATTTCCAATTTTGCCAGTTTCACGCTTTCTTCCAAGATGTACAAATAAACTGAATAATATTCCTTTTTGGTAGAATAATGGCTGATGCTATTCATACAAAGCACATAAATAGTCAGTTTTCATTTAGACAGTTTTTGTTCGATTTAAATCAAACTTGGTACACTGGTAGAAGTCACTGAGAAACATAATTTTGTGTATTGGTTCTAATGAAGGGTGTTGCTATGGTTACTTAAACATTTAATTTAAATTTCTTATTGACCTATTTAGGCCGATTTCTGACCTCAAAAAAATCTCAAATATGTTTGTAAATACTCTTTCAACGTGTTTCTTTTTTCTAAAAGAGCTGAAGATAATATATGAAACTAGAATATATGTAAATTACATATTGGTATCAACCATTCATTTATTTTATTGTTGTACATCCTTGAAAACGCACATACTACTTAGATTGAATCCATCCAAAACAAAGGTTGTATTTTTCAGTTAGAAAGACATTTCTATTATGCCAAAATTATTTTTTAAAGTTGACAGACTGGAGTGTGTTCCAGTTCATCGTCATCTGAGTCTATTATTCTCACAAAACCTTAGTAGGTCTGAATACATGTATATTGATGGTGACGTAAGCAGTGCTTACAAAAAACTTGACCTCTTGAAAAAACTTAGGTTCAAAATCGGTAGGAAAAACCTGTCAAATTGTATATTACGTTTATTAGACCTATGCTTGAATATGCTTCCATTGTTCGGGATGGCTGCTCTAAACAAGATTCTGAAAAGCTTGAAAAAGTACAACTAATTGCCTCTAGAATTGTAACAGGACTTCCTATTTTTGTTTTTAGAGAAGCACTATATTCTGAGACTGGATGGGAAACATTAAAAGCCAGGCGACATATTGCAGTTGCATATTGCAGAGTACCTGAATATTGGCACAAAATTGTCCCCAATAAACGCGAACATGCATCAACATACAATACTCATAATAAAGATTATGTTGATCCAAGATGCATATTAGAATTATTAGGAATTCCTTCGTACCCGATGCTATAAATCAATGGAATTTACTAAAAATAGAGGTTAGGGAAGCCATCTCAATTAATTCATTCCGAAAAAACTTGGTAGGAAAACTTAAAAATCCTTCATCATACTT